GAGTAAAACGGCTGAAGCAGCAAGATTAACACCAGGCGCCTGGAGGCGCGCTTAGGTACTACTACTACTACTACTACTACTACTACTACTACTACTACTACTACTACTACTACTACTACTAGGGCTTGAGCCGAAAAGTCTCTGCGAACTGTGGACGTTGCAGAGCAGCTGAGTCTCTTCCCAATTACTGAACTATTGTTCCACGAAGCCCAAAGCAACTCCAAGGGCTAGACATCTCGGAATCTCTCAGACTGCAGCCTCAAGATTGCGCCATAAGCAGACCCGCCAGCATTGAGGCTGCCAGCACATCTCCTCAGCAGACCGTACTTGGCGGACTACCTGCTGCATCTTCAGCGGTCGGCAGTCGGAGCAGATTTCAAAGAACTTGGCTCGGTGTCTGAGACCTCGCAGGCTTTGCACACTGCCGACCAGATTGCGACGGGCCAGGCCTCGTACCAAGAAATCCTGCAGCAAGCAGCTGGTGTCGGAGCACTTCGCGCAGTTCGAAACATCCTCCGCCAGAGTGACGTTCATGAGCTGGTCGGTATGAGCACACCTCTGCACGCAGCGTGCGTGAATGGCCGCGATGAGGTGGTCCCGTTGTTGCTGGAAGCTCGAGTCTCCCCGACTTCTGCTGATAGAAACGGCGTCCAGCCGATTCACTTGGCTGCGCAAGGAGGGTCCGAGCAAGTACTTACTCTGCTGATCACAGCAAGGGCCAAGCTCGATGCCACAAGCGCCGAGAAGCAGACCGTGCTCCACTTCGCGGCAAGATCTGGTGCTCCCGGAGCTGTTCTGAACCTTCTCATGGCAGAGCCCCTCACGAGAAAGACGCGCGGTGCCAAAGCCTCCGGAGTCTCTGGCCTGAAGATCGACGTCTCGGGCTCAGCGATGCTCGGCTCCTCACTCTGAGTCTGGGTCTTTCTGGGACACCGAGGCGAAGGATGGCTGGGGCAGGTCAGCTCTGCACTGGGCCGTGGTGAATGGTCACCGCAGCGTCGTTCTGAAGCTTCTGGAAGCAGGCGAACTCGCGGTCGCAAATGGAGGGAACGGTGTAGATTCTTGGGTGTGCAGTGTGCAGTGTTGCAGTGGTCCAGGTGCCGACCGAAATCTGAGAGATGCAGCAGGTCTGCCCAATTGTGTTGTCTCAGCTGGCCTCTACTGCTAGCAGCTTGTTTCACCCTCACTGCCGAGGTGAGACGCCTCTGCTGATTGCCGAGCGCAGGGCACAGTGCAGGGCGCAAGACCGGCCTGGAGATCTGGGCGCCTCGGTCCCGTGGCTGCAGATGCCTGCGGTCAGTAGGACCTGAGTCGGAGCCGTCAGCCCAGGTCTTCGGAGACATCGCCACGCTGCTGGGCGGCTCGGCGAGCACGGCAAAGGCAGAGGCAACATCGGAAAACCAAGGGCTTGGCCGATTGCAGGCAGAACATTCAGCGCAGGTCGCAGGTAGGCGGCAAACTTCCCTCTGTGTGTAGGGCGAGAGTGCAGTGGAATCAAGGTATCATCGTTTTTAGATTTTGCCGGACTGTCCTAGTGTCGCCATGGCCGGCCACCGATTTCGGAGAGCGCCTCCGCTCCTTCTGGTGACCCTTTGCGCCTCGCTGTGGCTTGGCCTGCCTTCCTTCCCGGCCTTCGCATCCCCTGCGAAAGGGAAGAAGCAAGAACAGGTCAGCATGTTCGACATGGCAACCAGCGCCAGGAAAACAAAGTCGAAGCCCAAGTCAAGGTCAAAGCCGGGCAAGGGCATGGCCAAAGCCAAACCAGCGAAGGCGAAGGTGAAGCCTTTTCCAAGCAGCACAGGGGACTCCTTCCTGCCGGCACAGGGGGCCTGCGTAGCATTGTCATTTCTGCCTGTGCAATATCCGACTGAGCAGCTTGACCTTGAAAAGATCTTGTTTTCGCCAGACTCCACCTTCAAGATTGGTCTCGGCATCAGCATAGTGGGATTCCTGATCGGTTTGGTCTCCATTGTTACCGTCACGGCAGCGATGGAGGACAAGAGTGGCCGATTGGCGACTTCGGGCCCCTTCGCTGTTGTAAGGTCTCCGACCTACACAGGCTTCATCATCATGTGCGCGGGCGCCTGCGTCATGGCGAACCTGAGCCCTGTCCGGGCGCTTTTCACGGTGGCCCTGGCCGGCGTTTTGGCGCTGAAGCTGGCTGAGGAAGAGGAGGCCTTGAAAGAGGCACGGCCGGAGGAGTGGATGCGATACACAAAGCCGCTCGGTCGATAATTTCAGGTAAAGTGAATTCCGTAAGCGCGAGCCGCTCGCAATTGAAAGAGCCGAGGAAAGTGCCGTTCAAGCTTGTTCCGTTCCTTTGGTGAGGGCGCTGCCTCATTGCTTGTGTATCTCAAATCTCTACAACGTAGTTTATGTTTCACAAGTCATCACCGCGAAATGCAAAGAAGAACTCGATTTTCCTTTGCGCTGCTTCCGGTCACGCCGAAGGTTTCAAGATGCCGGCAACCAGGCCTAGCTTGCTTCCGTCCCTGCACGCACGAGTCGCGAGGCAGGCGGTGCCCAAAGCGAGGTGCGGCTTCAACCGATGGACACCACATCGCCGCTTTTCATGACGCAGAGCAGCCGAAAATGAGGGGGGGGAGTGAGTCGCACTGACAGGACCTGGCCCGTGCTGCTACTTGTAGGAGCGTCCTGTCCGGCCCGGAGCTTCAGCTTTAGCCAAAAGCACATGAACAAAAACACAGCGCGGCAGGCGGCAGGCGGACTACACGTCCTGCATGCTATCAGTGAAACTGAGCCTGCACAGCTCTAGCTGAGCACGAACTCGTAGCCGTCTGAAGAGAAACCGCAAGCTCGGTGCATCTGGGTGCCAAGCACGCGCTGCAACAATCAGAGCATGCAGAGCCTCGTTGTACAGCCTCGAGCGGCGTCCGCAAGAGAAGGACCGTTTCTTGAGTGGGTCGGGCCGTCGGGCTCAAACTTCGACCTTGCGTGAACTGCAGGCTCCGGAAGTCTCTGCTCTGGAGCTGGGAGAGGCCTTCGAGCCGGCTGGGCATCAGGCTGACAAGAGTCAACGGGCATGCAGGTCGCGTAGTTAGGAAACATCGTGCTTCTCCTTTGTGGTGCAACTTTCGCCTCGAAGACACTTGACTAAGCACGTGCATCGAGTCCGACAAGTCTGTCGCGGAAGGTTCTTCGAATGGAGCGGTGATCGCCGTGGCTTTGCCGGCCATAGCTTTGAGGCGGCCGCGAAGTCAGAATCGCCTCGACATGCCTCGAACTTAGTTGGCCGTTCCAGTCAGGACCGCGTCAAGGCGGCGGTCGGTGAGGCGGAAGCAAGTCAGAGGCTCGTGACACGGGATGTACATTTGATATGGCGGCCCTGGAAGGGCAGCGGTTCCCCATGTCCGCCGGGCTGCTGCGGGCTTTGCCGTCGCCCCACCCAGGCCAGGGCGTCTGTGCTGTCCGCTTTCCAATTGCGGCTTCGGCTTCGGTCCGAGGAAGCGAGCCCGGCGTGGGCCGAAGGGCGGCTTCGCCAAGGAGGCCAAGCTGAGGATCCTCTCGGCACGGAAGAGAGCGCCCCCTCCGAAGACTCTGAGGCCAAGGATGCCTTTCGTTTCAGGAGCTGGTTGAAGCAGCTGGGCTGCGTCGGCGTGGACTTGATCGAGATCGGGCAGAAGTCCGGCCACTTGCCACCAAGCAGGAACCCACATCGTATCTGCACGATTGCTGCTCTGCTCTGTGCTGAGGCGTGTGGCTGAAGCCCGACCTGAGCAGCGAGCAAGAGGCCGCTGTCAAAGAAGGAAGGATCGTCTTAGAGGCCGGATGAGCGGAGCGACCGGAGCCCAAGTCACCCCAGCTTGTGAAGGTGCCGCGGCAAGCTTGGATCCAAGCAGACCCGACGGCCTCCAGTGACGCCGACATCGAGGAGTTACTCGCTGCTGAACTTCTGAAGGAAAGAGCCAAAGGCACGGCAGATATTCTTTTCTGGCCCCAGCACCCCTTGCTCCACACTCCGCAGGGCCTTCTTCCAGTTTCGCTCCGTACGTGGACTTCTTGTGGTGCAGGGCCCTGCCCTCGAAGTATGCACTGCTGTCACTTGCGCCGCTTGTTCTGCTAAACCAGGATCTTTCCCACCATCCCATGTTCTGGACGCAAGAAGAGCTCTCCTGGCTATCAGCCTGCAATGGAGCACAGACTGCGGTGTTGGCGATGCAGGACTCTAGACTGCCAGTGCAGACTTTTCTTGAGGCTGTTGATAGTGCAAACAGAACCTCGGCCTTGTGCTAGTCATGCCTTCCTGTCAATGGAGCCAAAACGGCAGTGAGGAGCAGGCGGAGTGTCGCCGAGCGAAGCTGTGCGAGCGACTGGACATCACCGTGCCGGAGGCGGGGCCCTCTGGCAGGATTTGAGTTGTGCAAGACCTGTCGCCCTCACCCCTCAGGAGGACGTCCTGTTTGCCCTCTGCCTAGTGGAGAGCAGAGCAATCCAGACCGATGGGGTTTGCGGTGCGTTGGTGCCGCTTCTGGATCACTTGCGCATCTCGGTTGACGATGGAACTGCTTTTTGCTTTTCGTCGTGGCTTCAAGTTGTTGAGCCTTGTCTGTTCACGTTCTTTTTCGTGGGTTTGGACAGAACACGCTGAAGTGCATGAAGAAAGGTCAGTGCAATCGCGACCCTCAGCAAAGAGCATGCTTGTAACATAATTTTTGTTTGACTTGGCCTTGCCACAAAGAACTCAAATCATGCAGGACACGTGGTTTGCTTTGAAGACCCTTGTCTCAAACTGCCTCATACTCATGCACGCCAGCCCTGTAGCCTGCACCCCTAACAGCACAACATTTCTCAAAGATGGAGTCACAGACATCGAAAGACCATCACGGATGGCAGATAAACTGAGCAGACTCTGCATATCTCTGCATGTGGTAAGCAAAGCGGCATGGACATGTCACAACCGAAACCGGAGTTGTGGCTTGCCTACAGCGCTTGGATGGCGATTGCATGCAATTGCAATGCGAGGCAATGATTCGACTGCCGGACCTGCTCTGATTGTTGGAGATGAAGGTGTCGACGGCGGTCCAATGGTGGGTGTGGCGCCCCTCGTACAAGTTTGAGCCCTCCTCACCTGCTATGCGTTCGTCGAGTTTTCGGGTTTGCTGCGGTTTGCAACACTGGGCATGTTGTAGCAGCAGTCCAATTGAGGCTCCACGATCTGGAGCCTGGAACGGAGTTGCGAAACTGTTTCGAGCCCGCGAGCAACCTGGAGCTGTTCACCCAATATGGTGAGGCCGCAGCAGTCATCACATTTTGGCCCTAGCAATGATTAGTGGTAGAAAACAGGTGCAGATCAAAGACACCTCCACGGACGAAGATGCCGTTCCTGAAGCTAACGCATTTAATTATGTCTTGCTCTCAGTACCGGTACGTGCCGCACAGCGACAGAGCATCATTCGTCGGATGTACCCTTTGGAAAGCAGTCATTTACTTCGAACATCCCGCTGAAAAGAAAGCAGTTCGCGAGATACTTCACCGCCGTGTGCGAGACCTTTCGGTTTGGGTTAACATTTTGCGTGTAGTTGGGGCATCTCTACACGTCTGCGGGATGTTTCGGGGATGGGCGCAGGGATGCTCTGCAGGAAACTCCAAAAGCGAACTGTATGATGGTACATGTTTTGGGACATGTAGTCTACAAATGCTGCGCGGGACAGGCACTACACCAAGGTGGAGAAGAATTTCTTGACTCGAAATGGAAGGGATGTTTTGCTGCACCACGACTGAGACTGAGGTCCAGCTTCCAATCAAGGTTCCTGCGGAGCAGTGGAGGGCAAGTTCAGATTCACTGAAGAAGGCGGGCTGGTGTGGCGTGCTCACACGTGGCCATGGGACTTCAGCCTTCAGCTGTCTGAGGTGAAGCTTGACATTTTGCGCAGGCGTGCTGGTTTCGACTTCAGCTGCGACCTCAAAGCTGTAGGCCAAGGGATCGCTGCTCTATGCTGCTCTGTCTCTTTGCAGGCCGGGAAGCTGACGGCTCGGAGCCATTCATGCGTCTTCCCATGGATGCCATGGTGACCGGTCGCCTCTTGCCGACGGCCCGATTCATTTGCATGCCAGTGCCGCCGCAGGACATGGAGGACACACCTTTGCATTTGGTTGGCCATGCTTGTTCATTTGTATACGGCAAAGGTGATGGTTGGGCAGATAAGAGCTGCTCGGAGGAGACGTGTGATGAGCTTTTCACGAATCTCTTTGCAGACTGCGGCTCTGAAAGCAGTGAGTGCGTCTGATCGGCACATCGCTGATTTCTTCTCGTCCGAGGTGATCCCAGCCTTCTTCCTGGCAGTGAACTCGAGTGGGGCGGCCGATCTGCAAGTTCGCGAGCACCGCCAAACAATGCTGACGAGTTGGCCCTGGAAGTCAAGGCCTGCTGAAAAGAGTATCCATGGGCCATTGGGGGGGCATTCGCAAGACTTGGTGGATACAAGAGGGACCAGGGAGAGATGAGAGGCACACAAAGGGAGGAGGAGATGATAGGAAGGAGATGAGTGATACGAGCAGAGGAAGCCGAAGGGAAGGAAGAAAGCTGTAAAGAGACTACGACCTGAAGCCCCTCGGTACCAATGTAATCCGCACCAGCTGCGAAGACTCCTGATTCATCGTTTAGTCCTTGCCGCCTTGGTAAGCAGCCGTTTTGCCTTCTAGCTGGCAAAGTGTGACGGAGGGTATCGGCAATTGCGAATCTGATGGTCTCGTGCGATCAAAAGAGCTACTTCCCTGCCCTGCTATGCTCCCTGTAGTGTTAACTGAGAACTGTGCGTGCCGATAGCTGCAGTGCAAATTCAGACAGTTGTGAACCGGTTCTCAGCGGAAGGCTCCATGAGAGAAGAGGGGCCATTCCTTGACGTTGCAGGCCCGAGTCCTTGTGGCCGAGTGGTTCGAGAACAGCCTGCGGGGCTACAACAAGATGTCCGAGAAAATCGCACAGGCACGATGGACTCGCTGGACACTGTTGCAACTGCGAGCGAATGTCCACGTTTTCCATGAAGATTCCTCTGGCAGCCGGCGCAGTCAGGAGTTGGAAGACACATTGGTTACTTCGTCCGGATCTCCGACTGCGCCTGGGGATAGCAACCTGGCAGCCACTGGGAGCTGACAGACCGAAGAGACTTGCAGCACAATTGGCACAGGCAGCCAGCTACAACTGGCAGAAGTTACTTACGCCTACTACAAGGCAGCGTCCAGCGGCTGGATGCGGCTAGAATGAATCCGAAGGGAGAAAAGTCCACGATGCTGTTGGCAGGCAAAGCGCAAAGATGGCAGGACAGGGAAGAGTCGAGCACCAAAGACGTGCCGAGTACTCTCCTCTCGCCTCAAACTCGGTCTGAGCCACTCTGCAGATTCCTAGGCCCCCCGAACCAATGACTGCAGGTCCCAGCGACAAGACGGTCATAGTTCAATTTCTGGAGAATGGCGTGAGGCACACTATTCCCGAGGCGCCAAAGTCTAGAGCTTGTGATACTGGTTGTGACTATTCAATGGTTCCTGGCTTGGTGAAGCAGTGGAAGTTCATCTTATACAACATACTAGTATGTTAGATGCAGATGCTATATGTATTCGTCGCTTTGCTCTTTGTGGGTCGATGCTGGTTATGCCTCAGGACTGGCTGGTTCGTGAGGCTGACAAAGGTGCACCACTGAGCATGGCAACTTGCCGTTTCGAATTGCCGAAGTTGGTCTCGCCCCGTGAGGTTCAGCCGCTGCGGAGAAGGTACACCGCTTGCATCAGCTTTTTGCTGTGCTTGAGATATATATATATATGTATATTTTTGTCGCCCCTCCGAATCGGAAGGGTGGGCAGCAGCTGGCTTCTGCCCATCGGGCACGTGGCCTCCTGGCCATGGCTCTCCTGGGCAGCCAGTCTTCCATCATCCAGGCCAAGCCGACCACAGACAAACAAAGTTTCTTGTGCCTGACCCTGAGGCTTGTTACGAGATGTTGCTGAATGTGCTGCAGATTGGTCAGGGAATCCTTGACTGCAAACAAGAGCAAGAACGGAGATTTATGGTCCAACAGCTGCTTGTCTCAATGGAAGCCTATGACTCCAGCAGAAGGGGTTTGCCGTGCTTGTCTATCTGAGGCTTCAGCAGGCTTGGCAGGAGGACATGACAAGTTGTCACCGCGCATGATGAAGCTGGTCTCAGCATGTTTCAGCCACCATACTGTGCAAGAAACTGATAGAGTATATCATGTAGCCACCCCACTGTGTAAGAAGCCGTTAGAGTATGTCATGTTGTGGTGCATTCCAGCTCGGGTATTCCATTTGCAAGCCGCCAGGAGTCCGACATGCTCCTTCAATGTCAGTCTGAGAACCAGGAGCCTGCGTGACAGATGCAAAAGCCCGCCACGGGGTTGGCAACTCACTCTCATGTCGCCGTCGCCAGCACGTGATCTGCACCTGCCGCCCGCTGTGTTTTTGTGTTGCGAACTAGCTTTACACAGACAGCTAGCTGCAGAATGATCACCTCAGTGATTGCTGTTGTCTTGTGTTCTTCATTCTCCAGATACAAAGCTGTGCTTCCCACCAGCACGCCAAGCTCAGCCTCAACAAGGTCCCAAACGAGGGCAGGACCTCTAGGCCCTAGGCTCGGGCGCCGACGCCCGCCAGCGCCCAGGCCGTGCCCAGGCCGCGCCCGCCCGCGCCCAGGCCGGGCCTGCCACAGCCTTGGCCGCAGCGTTTGCCCTCTTTCCACAGAGCTCCGACGGCCTCCTTGCAAGAGCTTTCCGGCAGGCCCTTGCGATGGCAGCGATGCGGAAGCAGCTGATCGAGTACCTCGAGGCCCCTTTCCAGGGCCGGCCGGGCTTTCTAAAATGGGAGTGCAGCTTTGAGAAAAGCAGGCAAACAAGGGCTTCGAGGACTCCGAGGTCCTGTGCAAGGACAAAGGCGAGGCTGGTGTTTGCTGCCCCTTCGCCAAAGCTTCTTTTGCAGGTTGGGACCACGAAGTGCTTGTGGGCGCCATCAAGTCCTTGCAGTCTGAGGCGCTGTGCAAAGCTGACCTGCGCCGTGAGCTCATGTGCGGACTTCCGTGCCCTTTTGAGAGGAGCAGGTCACCGCGGAGCCCATCAAGCGCGAAGGCGGGTTTTCAGGGTCTCTGCGAAGTCTCTGCCGCGTTTTCGGGCCTCAGGCTGGAAGCTCACCGAGGAGGGCGTGCAGTACATGGAGAAGGGAAGCCCGGAGTTCCAGGTCGCCACGGGAAACCTTCCCGCTTCGTTTCTCTCCGGTGCTCCGATCCGAGTCCCTCAAACCTCAGGTTTTCAGCTTCATCAAGTCGAGGGGCTCCGTGCCGAATGCAGACGTCGATGCCGCTCTTGGTGCCATTGCCAAGATCGGCACCGCGCCTACCTGATCTCCAAAACTCCGTTATAGCTGCCACGCTTGTCTCTGCCAGAGCAGGCCTCGGCACTTGCATGAAGAACAAGTGGGTCTCCATCGATAAGGCCACCAAGGCACGGGCACAGCAACCATGGCACGCCTGAGCAAGGAGGCTCCGAACATCAGTTGTTTGCAGGTCTGCACACCCTCCGTGGATGCCGTGGAGGACGGTGTCCAGAAAGAGCTCTCGTCTTTGAGCACCTTAGACAAGGCCAGGCAGGGAATCTCCGACCAGCCCCGACTGTCCCCTCTTGGAGCATTCGGCTTTCGGAGGCGAAGCTGGACGCGCTGAAGAAGCGCAAGCTCATAGCGCCAACGAGCCTGACGGCCTTCAAGGCCAAACTCCTTGAGCATTGCATCTCGCAAAGTCTGACTTCGACAAGCGGATCGGCGAAGGTCGAGAGGAGCGACAAGTTCTCAGCAGCGTCTCAGAAGGCAGTTGCCGACCTGACGGCCGAGATGATTCAGAAGGCAGAAGCAACTGCTGGCATGCATGGTTGCGATGTACGGGCATCGAGCCATTGTGCAGGGCACGTGGAGCAGCACCACTTTCAAGCCCTTCAACCTAACAAATGTCAGCGGTGTGCCTTGCACTGGTGGACACTTGCATCCCCTCAACAAGGACCCCTCTGCATAGTTGAGCTGTCAGAGTAGCGTGTGCCGTCCGCTGACTTGCTTTCTGTTGGGCTGTTGCTCATGTTAGTGCCGGCAGGTAAAGACAGAGATGCGCCAAATTCTAATGCAGATGGGCTTCGAGGAGATGACCACAAATCAGTGCGGACCTGAGCACGTGCCAGGATCAGCACTGTAGCAGTTGCACGGGCGTGACAAATCTTTGCTACTGTCTCAGTGCGATGGCTTGTGTGCAGCGCTCTACCACTACCATCAGGTGGGTGGAGAGTTCCTTCTGGAACTTCGACGCTCTTTTCCAGCCACAGCAGCATCATGGCAGCAAATTTCATGTGCTACCCTGTGAAAGTCTTTACGACGAGCTTCCGGCACACTCTGCCGTCGCAATTCTGTTTCCTCCTCGACCTTGGCCTTCCAGCAGCGACGTCAGGCAATTCCGAGTCAGGGAGGGGATTGTTGCTGTTGCTCTTGCTTGTTGTTCTCTCTCGTCTCACTCCTTTAAGGGTTGAAGTCCGGCTTGCAATTGGGAGTGCTTCAGGCGGCTTTGAAAGAGACGTGGGCCGTTCCTTGCCGAGATCCCCATTTGTGTAGCATTCGGATTTCCACTCGCGAACCATAAACATGAACAGACTTCTTTGCGCCTTCGCTGTGAACTTTCGAATGAGTGGCCGGAAGCCGAGGCATCCAGCGCGGGATGCCCACGACACCTTTTTCATGGAGGCTTCGGCAAAGCCGCGTTGTGACACCTCTTGAGCGAAGACGGTTGCAGGAGCCCAGCAGGGCGCAGGACATCCCTGAAGAGTACCTTGCGAAAGTGAAGGAGATGCATGAGTGGCGGGCTCGATAACTGTCCGAGTGGCAAGTCAACAAGGGCAGGGTTCGATTCTCCAGCAGTTGTAACAGCGACTTTGCAGTCAGGAAGGGTGGCCAGGGATCCATCGGATGGCGCTATGACTGGAGCGAGGAGAATTGGGCAGCATCTGGTTGCGTGGTTTCTTTCCCAAAAGTGGGGGGGAGATGCCGAATCAAATCTTGGGATCTGCTAGAACTGTGGTACTAGGGAGTCTCATGAAGTATCCAGCGAAGGCCGTCGAAACCCCCGCCGGCCTGCGTGTCTTTTGCAACCGCCAAGTATTGTGTAAAGGAAGGATGACCAAGGTCAAAATGCAGCTCTGATACTACATACAACAATATTATATGATGATATATTAATGAGTAATAACATCTGCAGACACACAACAACTGTAATAACAATAAAAGAACAACAGCAGTATGTATATGTGTATGTATATGTATATGTATATGTATATGTATATGTATATGTATATGTATATGTATGTGCATATGTAAATGTATATGTGTATATGTGCATACACATGCATACACATGCATGCATGCATGCATACATACATACATATACATGCGTAGTCTGTGCACATCACATGCTACGTGTGGTTTGCTAGAAATTTATGTATGTATATATAACATATACATATGCATACACACGTACATGCATGCATGCATACATGTATACACACATCGTGTTTTCTGTATTATATAGAAACATGTTATCAATGCATGTTGTGTATTGTGAATCTTATGTACATAAACATGTGCTGTGACTTATGTGTGTAATCTTTTTCTTTATAGCCTAGTTTTATATGTTATGTTTGCCACATATGATGTATTATATGTTCGCTTCTACTGTTGCCGTCTGTAGATATTTCTAGTTGTTTGTATTGCTATATGTATTATATACATATATATATCTATCCATATTTATAGTTTGATTTTGTTAATTTTTTTATGACCAGTAGCAGTATCATTTCTACCAACTTTTATACGCGACTGCAGTTGTTATATCACATTCATTGTGTTTTATTTCTGCCTTCTTATGCATAGATATATATATATACACGCAGACATATACACACCATATTGCTATCTATCCGTCTATATGTATATTTATATACCCATCATACAGCCATTTTGCATATGACTTGCACTCATTGCTGAGCCTTCGTTTTCCTGCCAGATGCACACATCGTTGCGTGCGGTTTGTAACAAAGCTCATGCGTCTGCACGGCATATGAGTAACGTATGGATGAGCCGTCAGCTCAGATGGGGCACCATCTTAGATGCATCCGTTTTGTGGTCCATTCCCCCTTGGGTGGAGGGGAGGTCAGGGAGGACCTGTAAAACGATTCGAAAAGAAACCAGACGGCAGGAGCTATCAGGAGCTATGTTCACTGTGCTCAGTGCCGTCAGTAACCTACACGTAGCAAGCATGCCTTGCATTCACTGCTCACCCTTCGTTTTCCTGCCAGATGCACGCCTTCAGCTCAATACGGGTCGCCATCTTAGATGCATCCGCTTTGTAGTCTATCCCGTTTAACCATTCAAACGTGAACTGGCCAGTTCCGCAATGCTGTGGCACAACTCGTGTGGGTATGGCTGAGGCCTACTAGTTGAATATGCAGAATGTCAGCGAAGGAGCACAGATTGCCGTGATAGCTGCATTGTTGGCCCAGAGAACAAGGGTCGATATATTTATACAGCAAGGTTGTTGGCTTTTTCCAGGGAGCGCCATGAGTTCGCGAAAGAGAGGCTTGGCCTGCTGAGCAAACGGTTGCAAAGGCGGCATATCCTATAACATACTTGAGCCAGGGTTTTCAATAATGAAAGAAACTTGGCATCTATCACATACGTGCAACCTGTCGACCCTGCCGAGAAGAGGTCTGGCTATATGGAGATGTCGAGCCAGCTCCTACGGCGTCGTCACGAACCCCCTCTTAGGTAAGTGATGGAGCAGCAGTTTTGGCTGATGCGGCACAAACCCCGCCCCCCAGCACATTTTATCCGCTGCAAAACAGCAGAGGCGTCACGCACCTCGCAGGGCAGCTTAGCCCAAGTGTTCGCTTTTAAGGCTCTTTCCGGCAACTCGACCGGATTCTTTGGTCTGTGTACAGTGTACAGATTTTCAAAAAAGGCTCCGGCCAGCATTGTGCATATCAGCAACATGGGGGCCGATCCTCTAATCGGTGTCTCCATCCGGTGCTCGCCATGGCAATGGGAGGCGTGCCGTCGCAACCCTGACGCCTTGATCTACCAGCTCTTCGGAGGGAAGGTCGTTCACCCCACCTATGGGTGGAAAGAGCTGAATGCTTCACCCAAAAAGGGTCCTGTTGAAAAGTTCTGGCAAGGCTTGTGAGCAGAGCGAGTAACCAAAACAAGGTTCTTCAGCATTCGAGTGGGGATGGCCTGTTTATCGAGCATCTTGCCTCGGACGCCCAGGCCAAGCCACCCCTTGAGGGCGAGCCAGCCAGAGATTATTTGAGTCGCATCGTTAAGGATGCAAAGCATGAGCACACCACCATTGTCTGCCGGGACCCAGACTCCGCTCTCAACCCGCACTCAGAGCAAGGTCACCCGCAAGGTGGGCACGGTTGAAGTTCTCAAGAGCCCCTCGCAAACCTTTAACGAGCCTAAGGCTGCACGTGTGCCTTTGCCCTCCTCGGCTCCTGAGAAGCCCAAGCCTTCTCGCTTTGCGTTAGGGTGACAGCCATCTACAACAATTCCAGAGACCTTCATCTTGGGGGGCCCGGAGGGTGCTGGAGGATAGGTTGTTTAGGTTTTTGAGGGACAGTACTAGGGGAAGCCAAAATTTAAGGACATTACATTACAGCATTTTAGAGCCCTGGGACTTCAAAAAATGGAGCACTGCACCTCTGTCCCTCAATTCTGCTTCTCATAAACCAAATTTCAGCGTCCTAGAGCTCTAAAGTGCTGTGCAGTCCCTAAGTTGTGGTTGCCCAGAGGCTACATTCTCGGGACAGTACATCACTGTAGAGCCATTGGACCTTAAGCGTTCTGTTGGTGCCTAAATTTTGGGAATTCAAGGCCAAAAGTGCTGTGCTGTCCTTAAAAGCCTATTCGCCAGAGACCTTCAGATCGGAGGGCCCGGAGGATGCTCGAGGATAGGCCTCAAGGACAGCACAGCACTTTTGGCTAGGAGAAGCCACATTTAAGGGACACTACAGCAAGTTAGAGCCTTGGGACCTCAAAAATCCTGTACTTTCCGAAAAAATGCTCCTCTAGAGGCCAACGTTTAGGGACGGTCCAGCACTTTTGAAGTACAGCGAAGCGCTAAAATGCTCTTGCTTCCCCAGAGGCCACAAGTTAGGGACGGCTTGGCGCTTTGGAGCCCTGGGACCTGCAAGGTGTTGTGCTGTTCTTAAATCCTGCTCCTCCAGAGGCCAAATTGTAGGGACAGTACAGCATTTTTGATTTTAACTTTAAAGCATTGGAACTTTCAAAGTGCGTCCCTAAACTTGGTTTTTGCCAAACCCAAACTAAAAGCACAGTACAGACCCCAGGACTTTGGGACTTCCAACAAGGTGGTATTGTACACGTTGTCTGGTACGGATCTTCATCATACATGCTTCCCAGCATACATACAACTAGCCTGGTTTGTGTTCGTTCGCAGGCACTTCTACTTTCGATCGTTTGCGGGAAGCAGATCCTGGTGTGCAATTTGTTCTGTGTTTTGAAAACATGCGATGAGCAAAGCAGCTGTTCTACAGAGAGGCCCGTTTCATTGGCACTTACAGCACTCCCCGATCCTTGCTTCCCCAGAGGCCACAAGTTA